ATCCGCGTTATAAAAATGTCCATAAACAATTGGTAAGTTTATATACTTATAAATGAAAATGTTTGGTTAATTAACTAGAATTCAATAATTTGCGTAGAAAGTGTTGTTTGAACAAATGTTTGGTTTCTGCAGGTTAATCTCAGAAGTGAACTGCGTGAAAATGATGTCGAGCTGCAAAAGTTGATTCAATAGTTTAATGATTGTTTTTTGATTGTTTAATTGATTTGTAAAAGTTGATTCAATAGTAGATGATCGGAAATAAGAATTATTGCTTATTTTTTGATTGTTTAATTGATTTGTAAAAGATGATTTGTAAAAGTTGATTTGTGTAATTGATGCGAACATAATTCTTATTTGTGCTTGTTTAATTGATTGAAATGTAATGGTTGATTTTGTTGATTTCAATCTGCATTATGTTGAAGGCAAAAATGACTATCGCAATGCGAAATGAAAATCGCAATGCGAAATGAAAATCGCAACGAGAGAATCGCAATGCGAAATGAAAATCGCAATGCGGAAATGAAAATCGCAATGCGTTTATAATTTCGCATTGCGATTATCTCGTTGCGATTTTCATTTCGCATTGCGATTTTCATTTCGCATTGCGATTCTTTCGTTGCGATTTTCATTTCGCATTGCGATTTTCATTTCGCATTGCGATTTTCATTTCGCATTGCGATTTTCATTTCGCATTGCGATTTTAATTTCGCATTGCGATTCTGTCGTTGCGATTTTCATTTCGCATTGCGATTTTCATTTCGCATTGCGATTCTCTCGTTGCGATTTTCATTTCCGCATTGCGATTTTCATGTTGGGATTTTCATTTCGCGTTGCGATTGTATTTTCCGTGTTGCGATAGTCAAATGCATGCCTAATAGTGATAACAACTGAATAACAAGAGTTGGTTAAGTCAAAATGGTTGGCCTGAGTCATTAATTCAACTGAAAATGTTAAAAGTTCACACATAAAATCCACATAATACAACGTTTGCATTTAAAATCACCTAAGTTAACAGTCTCAAAAGGTGAAGCCAATCGTGATTGGGATTTTAAAGATGATTGCCTTTTGCTTGACACCATATGAGCTTTGGATTTTGATGAGGATCCATATTTTGGTAGAGGAAAAGATGATTTTGATGGCACTGGTGATCCACATGTCAACCTTGTATGACCACTTTCCTTGCACCGACTACATGTCGATCTCTTCTTCTCTTCACCCTTAGACGGTATACGATCGTGACTTTTTGGTCGGCCAGGTAGCCTTCTGTCCATGGCTGGTGGCAAAACTGTTTGTAAGTCATCTGGTATGTCCCACTCAGAAGGATGTGGAATAGGGTAGACAATCTCGGCATAAGTCTGTCGATAAACTTCTGTAGTGTAGCAATCCATAGCGTATGCGCTTGAATCATCTTGGTTTAAATGAAGAGCAACTTTTATAACATGGCCACACGGATAACCAGATGTTTGCCATTTCATACAACTACACGTCTTTGCATTTAGATCGACTAGCCCATTTAAGTTATTATCCAGTACTTGAAACAAAGTGTTTGAACATGGTTCAACTCTCCATGACGTTGACTTCACAACACGTTTCGTTATCTTTTTTTCAGTCCATGGTGTAACACGATGTTCCAATGTTCCTGTAAATTTAAATAAACAATACTTAGTAAAATATATAAATATGATAAGTTACGAATTCAAAGAAATAATACCTGCATGGTTTCTTTTCTTGTAGTACCACTGTTGAATAGAGGCTCGAAAAAACTCCATTAACATAGTAATGGGTAATTTCCGGGAATGACGACTTAGAGCGTTGATTGATTCTGCACTATTAGACGTCATGAAACCATATCTTGCTCCAAGTTGATGTACTCTTGACCATCTTTCAAACCCGACATCTTCTAGTGTTTGAGCACACTGAGGCAAAACACGTCTTAAACAATTTATATGCTTATTGAAATCCACTTCCCGATAAGCTTTTACAGCCTTCCAGTATGTCCATTTGTGCTTTTTTATACCAGCAGACCTTGATTTTAGATTTCTATACAAATGAACACCACAAGTCCATGAAAAGCATCTGGGAAACACCTTCTAACAGCGTTGTCAATTGAGTTTGCCCTATCGGATATGATTGTCAGATTGCTAATAGGACCTATGCAATCCCTAAGATGCCCCATAAACCATGTCCATGAATCAGAGGTTTCAGATTTGCCAACCCCGTAAGCTATTGGCAATATCCCATTGTTAGCATCCATGGCTACTGCTAATAAGTTTACTCCAAGGTATCGACCTTTCAAATGTGCTCCGTCAACTATAATAACTGGGCGCATGCAAGTAATAAACGAACGAATCTACAAATAATATACACAAGAAATATAATCATTTAAATGTGAAATGCATGTAACTAACAAAAATGAGTCAACAAAATTATATTGATTTACTAACCGTAGCACCAATGGCGATAAACAGCAACTCAAAGCGTCCATCTCTATCTGTTTGATATGAGTTACCGACCCAGGATTTTTCAGCTTTAAATTGTGACAATAAGCCGGCAGTTGGGCAAACGATGCTTCTGGCGACCCCCTCAACAATTCCAAGGCATAACATTTGGCTCTCCAAGCTTGAGAATATGATATACTAATCTTGAACCGAGCATTCATGTCAGTCATAATTTCATGTCCCCGATATACCCTGCCATTCAAAAACATTAACTCAGCCAGAAAACCACCCAACACCTTTTTGTTTGCCTGTCTATGGTGAGGAAAAACTTGGGTTCTTGAACATGTATGTTTATCAATAAAAGTCCTAACTTGAAACATTTTGCAATCTTTTATTCTCTTTGCAATCATACGCCACGTACAGTTTTTGTCAATCATACACCTTGTTTCGAAACGATCTTTGCTTGATTTGTTAACTTTTAGTTGATAGCCATCTTCCACACATTTCGTATATAAAGCTATCTTCAAGTCTTCCTTTGTATCAAAACAATCATCTTTCTTGATACGAATAACTTTTGTGTAACAATCAACTGCTTTCTTTATCAACTCTTCTTCCGGTATCTGAAGTAATTCTGGCATATTCCAGTTATACGCCCGTGGCATTTTCTTTTCTTCGGGACTTTTTCTTCTTCTTTTTCTTCTTCAGGATTATATGAATTACAGAATGGATGTTCAACATGTTCATTCACAGTCGTAACTTCCTCCTCATTATCATCAACATTACATTCTTCGGCAACGGCTGTTTCATCATCAAAATTCGGGTATTGACCAATATCAATATCATTACACGCATGGTCTGTTTCTTCTTCTGAAACATCATCAAAATCCGTGTATTGACCAATATCAAAGTCCGGATATTGACCAAGACCAAATTTCGAATACTGACTAGTACTCACAATTTTTTCTGTTGGCTCATCATCGTCTAACTGGTCAATACGAAAACCGGAATTTGGTGCTGAAAGTTGATTGGGATTTGGATTAGAGAAAGGTTGTGGGTTTTGAGAAAAACTTAGTTGATTACTACCCGCTACTGACCCAACAATACTACTTCTAGGTTCAACAACATACAATGTAACATCATCTTGTGAAACACTAATGTAAGCAATGAATCGTTCAACATCTTCATTGTCGGTTAACAAATAAACTTTACCATTTCTCTGATAAGATAGCCTAAATCCACTTAGGGGCTCTAAATTCAATTTATTTGAAACACGTAGCATTAGAGTTTCATAAGTTAACTTTTGTAAAGACAATTTTAGTTGAAGATTCATGGGTAAAGGCATATATTGTAAAACACCATGAACATTATCCCATGACCCTCCAAAACACAAATCTATCCAAACATGATCAACATTAGATGATTTCATGGTTGTAAATTAATTTACTAAACAGACGAGCTGCGAAACTAAAACCTGTTGCCGGATTGGGAAGGATGTCGTTGGATATAGGAACGGATGTCGCCGGAGAGAGTGATAGATGGAGATGGAATGAGTTGCGATTTAGGGATTTAGTTTATGATTTCAGTGTTATATACCCAAAATTTAAGTGTTGTGATTTACAGATTCTCGTTGCGATTTACGGATTATCGTTGCGATTTACAGATTCTCGTTGCGATTTACGGATTATCGTTGCGATTTACGGATACGCGTTGCGATTTACGGATTATCGTTGCGATTTACGGATACGCGTTGCGATTTACGGATACGCATTGCGATTTACGGATACGCGTTGCGATTTACGGATACACGTTGCAGTTTACGGATACGCGTTGCGATTTACGGATACGCGTTGCGATATACGGATACGCATTGCGATTTACCCATACGCGTTGCGATTTACGGATACACGTTGCGATTTACGGATACGCGTTGCGATTTATGTGTTCGCGTTGCGATTTTCATATTCGCGTTGCGATTATGGAAAATCGCAATGCGAATTTGTACTATCGCATCGCGATTTTCAAGAATCGCGTTGCGATTTTGGAAACTGATTTGCGATTCTGGGGATCGCGTTGCGATTTTTATTTCGCGTTGCGATTTTGTTGGTCATTTTGGCAAATCCAAAAAAAGTTGGTTAAAATCGTATATTATAACTTTTTTTTGGTCACTGAGGCGATTCTCTCTTTAAATTATTGTTGTGTCCGTGTTGTATTTATCGTAATTGCGAATATAATTAACGTTATTGCGGTCATTACTGATATTACAATGTAAATTTTTTTTATAGGAGTTAATTGTTTTCTAAAATGAAGATGTTTTAAAAAAAATTAATAGCAGGACAATAGTGAGAATAGAGGTCTGCTATTGTCACAATTGGTCACCATTCACTAAATGATGATCACGATATACTGTTATTGGTGTGATTCCGTTTTGCACCGCTATTTTCCATAATAACAGTTTGGACCGTCGTTGCTATCATAATATAACGACCACTGTTCATTATCCAAATGCTATTTGAATTCCTGATAATATGTTCGCTGAATATGTGAATATATATATATAGAAAGTGCAAGAAGTAATTTTACGTGAATTCAACTAGTAAAATAATACATTTTATTACGAGGACGATTACTCGTGAGAATGTCGTCTATATTTTACTTGGTAGATGGAGATACTTAGTATGACGACCTTGAGCCATAATTTTCCCAGTACTCTTCTTCCTAAACTCAATACTCAAAACAGCAACAGCCTTACCAACGTGCAAAGCCTTTGCTTCTATCTCAATTTCCTCCTACATTATGCAAACGATAAATGGGTTATATTTTAAGCGCCAGAAGAGTAACAATTAAAGGCAAAAAAGAAGTCAGGAAATACAACTTTCTGGTGTTTATAGTCAGTGGTCATAAATCTTCTTTGTCTCCTGTTTAGTAACTTGGGAGGAAAACTAATAAATTTAGACAATTAGCAGAAAAGGAAGGCTATATCCTAGAGATTAGTGTATGCATAAAGAAAAGGTACCTGAATTAGTATTTCCGTCTTGTTCAGAACATTGAAACTCAAGGGGCTATCACCACAATAAATTTTAATTCATATTTATCATGAGTTATTCCTCCACAAACTACGACTCTATCGTCTAATATAACCTTCTAATTGAACTTCTGGATTCGTTATTTCATAAATCAAAGCCTTTAGAACTTGATATCTTTAAGTCGGTCATTATCTCTCGACAAGATTATCGGTAAATTTAAGAGATTTGTTAAGATTAAATCTATTGGATTATGACTGCATTCATTTATTTTGCCTGTCTATGAATAACAATCATGATCCTAAGTTGGCACCAGTTCACACATGAAATCAGTATATAAACCCCTATGCTAGGCAAAAGGATGAGGATTTTTTTTAACTAGACTTGATTTGGCTCGATCAAATGCTCATCTATGATAACACAATAGTAAATCCACAAATTCACGTATACTAGATTTCCAGTACTGAGTTTGTTCATTCAAGAATGTCTACTAAGAAACTGACTGAAACTCAAAAACTGGTGGAAACTGGAAAAAAAATCTCAACAAATCAAGGGGAAATTTGGAGCAGAAATTTAAAAGTTTCAAGCATGGTGTTAACAAAACCAATAATCTATCAGAAACAGAACATGTTGAGCAACAATTAGCAATTATAAGACACTTTCTACAAAAATATTGCAGACCTGGTTCAGATTGACACTTTTAAAATAAAATCAGAAGAAAAATACTTACATCAGCATAAGCAGCATCCATGAAAGCGATACTGATCTCAACTGAAGTTCCAGTGAAGGTAGCTCCAGCAGTGTATACTGCTGCCGAGGTAACCAAGTCCACTAATATAGCTGTGGCTCCGCTATGCAAGCAATTTTTATCGTTCTTTGCACAATAAATGTAAAACACGAATTCTGTTTATCATCAATAATCTAAAATCTTAACCCAAATTGAAGATTCATGAATAGAAGGAGTCAATTACCAAGAGACGAGGGTTGACCTTAAAAGAGCAAACGACGCGATTGGTTTCGATGAGATCAACGCGGAGACCGTGCATAATTAGGCGTTCGAAGAATCTCAAAGGCAGCTTATCTCCTTCGATGGTGGCCGGATTCTCCAAGTATCTCTTCACTTTTTCCACTTCCATCCCTCTTTAGCCCGTCTACGAACGACCTCACCAAATCCGCTCACTTTGTCACTCTACTACTTCTTCATCCAATTTTTTTCTTTTTGTTTCTAACAGAGCTTTTCCGGCCAAAAACAGACAAAGGGCTGCTACTAACATGACAGACGTGGTCATTTACATGGATGACAGACACATTTTGGACCGCATCTAGCACGTGTGTTTGTGTTAGCTTCAGGGAAGTCTGGTTCATCCAACATATTAGTTTACTTTAGCATCGAGTATGTTAATGTTATTATGTACTATTTCCTATTTATTTCTTTTAATATTTTTTAAACATACATGAATATCAAAATGTTGAGCGTTTCGTTCATAGAATATAATATTATTTTTTGAAATAAGATTATCAGAATATTACATTACCTTATACATTACTGGGAATGTTACATTATTTTATTTTGTTTGTTTGATATGAATGTATGATTACAGTGTTTGGTTAAAAGATTAAAAGATTATTGTAATGCATATTTTACTGTCATTATGATATTTTTTTAACAAGTTGAATTCCAAATATTCAAATGAAAATATTTATATAAAAATTCATAGAAAATATATTTTTGTATTGTTTTCAATTTATATATATTTTTATTAAATTTTAAATTCATAAAATTTATATAATTTTTTTACAAAATTTAAAAAATAAATGGGTAGATTAAAAGAGTAAATATATCATATATTCTTTTAATCATAATTAATATTTAAAAAGTTATGATAATAAATTAATAAATAAAATTGCTAACTTGGATGATGTCTTCATTTAAAAGTACTGAGCTGGTTGAGGGAAGACATTACATAAACAATGCTGACAGTGTGTTTTAGATCCAGATCCCAATTCAACAATAATATGTGAGGGAAGACATTGTATAAACAATGCTGACATTTTTGAATTATATTATACAAGTCAAGCATGCGGATCTTGCCTCCCTTTCTCAGAACAAATTCAACAATAACAGACAAGTTGAAAGCGATTATTTATTGATACGAGTTGTTTGTTGATTATGGAAAGGAGACAAAAATGGAACATCTGCTACACTCGTGTGGATTCAGATCAATTCCACGTTACTTATAATTGATATTTAAAGAGGATGAGATTCCTCTTGTCTCCTCTCAGCCTGTTACATATATATATATATATATATTCAGCAGATGGCAATGGAAGAAGACGGAAAATAGCTTGAGTTAGTTGAACACAATAGAAAGGCCTTTTCCTTCTCTAAAACAAAGACAATGGCTACCTCTCCTTTGAATGTCCAGCCTTCTTTCCATGCTCGCTCAAACAGTTTGCCTTCAAGGCAACACCCCATCACTTCTCAAATTGATGAAAATCTGAACCGATTGAGGGAGTCTCAGTCGGCCTCTACATCGTCATCATTAGGAAATCAACTCAACTGCCTTCAAGATTTGTATGACTTTGTTGATATGTTGCTTCAATTGCCCCTTGCTCAACAAGCTCTAGCTCAAGAGCAGCAAAGGAAATTCGTTGAACAACTTCTGGATGGATCTCTAATGCTCCTCGATGTATGCGGGACCGCTAGAGATGCCTTGTCCCAAACAAAGGAATGCACAAAAGATCTACAATCAGTTTTGCGTCGAAGAAGAGGAGTCGAGGGGCTTGCTAATGAGGTTAGGAAATACTTAACCACTAGGAAGGCAGCGAGAAAGGCAATCTGCAAGGCCTTGAAGAACTTGAAGCATATGGAGAATAAACTTAGCGAAGATGGTGAGACAGGAGCCGTGATTAGCACCTTGAAACAAGTAGAAGCAGTGACCATCAGCGTTCTAGAATCCTTGCTGTCCTCTATTTCGGGGCCAGCGGCTGAATCAAAATCAAGCTCATGGTCACTATTATCTAAGTTAATGCACCAGAGAAAAGTAACTTGCGAGGAAGAAGAACAAAAAACAAATGAAATTGCAGATGTTGAAGCGACATTGCGTTCCTTGATTAAATCTGGAAGCATGAAGAATGTTGAGAATGTACAAAATGAGCTGGAAAACTCAGAGATGTGCATCCAAGATCTTGATGAAGGTCTTGAAAGCTTCTTCAGGAGGTTGATCAAAGCTAGAGTCACTGTTCTCAACATCATCAACTGTTGAAATCTAATTGCACAAAAGTATAACTTACATGTATAGAATTGTTTAAAAGACAATAATTATACAGTCTTCTTTCCACAAATTCTTCCCTTTCTTAGTTTTCAAGAATGGCCATGGATGCATCTTAAGCCAAAAATAGTTTACTTTTGACATTCACATTATTACTAACACTAGAGGTTTACTGCTAGTTTTACCAAATGCTACACATCTTAACTTGAGAGATGAATTATAGAACCACTATTATTATATTTGTTAAAAAAGATTCAAGATTTATGAGATTTTTTGTATGAATACCTGAGCTGTCGAGATTCCTGTTGTCCCGTTGAAGATATTGGAACACTTTGAGCATCACATGGTAGATATAAATCTTACAATCGTTAAGCGAATCTTGCCTGCCTCCTGCATGACAAGAGATTCAGGACATTATCACATTAAAAAACTTGTAAACTCAATCATAATAAATGTATATACATTTTCATGTAAATGCATATAGTTCATTATAGTATTATCTCACGAATTGAGATACATTATGAGCTCACCGATTAAACGAATATTGTTATGAGTTGTCGGGCTGATTAGGAGGGAGACATTGCTTGAACCGTGCTGAGATAGTTGAAATAGGTGTCATCAAGTCCATGTTACCACATGACTGCAACTTGAAAGGGTGAGATTCTTTATGTTTGTCTCCACAGAAATTGGATGGGTAGAAATTGGCTTAGGTTATTACAGTTGGGTTCTAGAGTAATGAAGTATTGAACAATTGAAATTAAAGTAAAGTGAGAATAATAATATATGAAATGCTGGTAATTGGAGTTCAAGAAGTAAAGATTGCAAATATAACAAGTAAAGAAACCAAATCAAGTATCATCCACATTAATCCCAAGACTAAACAAAATAAAGTTCAAGAGTTTCATCAACATTTTCACGATGATCAGTGTCAGAACTGAAAATGAAACAAATTGCTAAGGAAGAAATCTGATTGTAAACATGGTTTTTCAGCTCTTGTTGCTCGTCTTCACCAATGATATCGATCGGCTCAGCTGGCTCGACCAGACCTCTTTTGAAGGTTGGAAACACAGTCAGCTTGCACGCCTTTGCTCTTTTTCTTCGACTCTAGCATGCCCATCATTTACACACAACTCCTTTCCACAGGTAATTAAAAGCAAAATGTTACAAGAAATAAACACAACTCCACGCTCTTAAATGCTATCGAAAACTAACTAGATATGCTAATGCAATTTCCTAGAATAAAGCTAAATGTGCTTAAATTCGAGCATTAATTGTCAAGTATAAAGACATGAATTTTATTTATACATGTATATATGCACCTTTTTTAGAGTGAAAATTGAATATATTATATTCCAATTTCAAATGATCACCGTTTCGTGCCAGTATCAGATAGAAACGAGTAGTATGTGTTGCAGCACTCATGCAAATATTTATTTGTTGCCTTTGCCTTTGCCTTATTTCGATTATAAAATGTCAACAGTTTAACTTTTGTATGGCCAAAATCAATTGTCATTCAACATGGTTGATTCAGATCATTAAAGACAAATGCAGACGAGTACACGCTTTCCTGCTAAGATTATATCATACAAGTCAAGAAAGCAGATCTTGCGTCCCTTTTACAGAGCAAATTCAACAATAACGTCATAATCCTGCATTCTGTCTCAGCACCATCGTGTGTATTACTTTATCAATTAAGATAAGGGTGATAAGTTGTTCTGATTGTGGAGAGCAGACAAAACATGAACGTTTTCGTGATAACCATGTAGGTCTATTTCAACTCCACGTTACTTATAATTGATATTTAAACTTGATGAGATTCCTCGTCTCCCCTCAGCCTGGGATATATATATATTCAGCAGATGGTAATTGGAGAAGACAGCAAATAGATTTAGTTGAAACACAATTGAAAGGCCTTTTCCTTCTCGACAAAAAAGACAATGGCTACATCTTCTTTGAATGTCCAGCCTTCTTTCCATGCTCGCTTCAAACAGTTTGCCTTCAAGGCAACACCCCATCACTTCTCAAAAAGATGAAAATCTGATCCAATTGAGGGAGTCTCAGTTGGCCTCTACATCGTTATCGTTAGGAAATCAACTCAACTGCCTTCAAGATTTGTATGACTCTGTTGATATGTTGCTTCAATAGCCCCTCGATCAACAAGCTCTAGCTCAAGAGCAGCAAAGGAAATTGGTTGAACAACTTTTGGATGGATCTCTCATGCTCCTCGATGTATGCGGGACTGCTAGAGATGCCTTGTCCCAAACAAAGGACTGCACACATTATCTTCAATCGGTTTTGCATCGAAGAAGAGGAGTTGGGGGGCTTGCTAATGAGGTTAGTAAATACTTAGCCTCTAGGAAGGCAGTGAGAAAGGCAATCTGCAAGGCCTTGAAGAACTTGAAGCATATGGAGAATAAACTTAGCAAAGATGGTGAGACAGAAGCCGTGATTAGCACCTTGAAACAAGTAGCAGCAGTAACCATCAGCGTTATATAATCCTTGTTGTCATTTATTTCAGGGCCAGAGGCTGAATCAAAATCGAGCTCGTGGTCACTATTTTCAAAGATATATATATATATATATATATATGCACCAGAAAAAAGTAACTTGCAAGGAAGAACAAAAAAAATGAAATTGCAAATGCGGAAGCTACATTCTGTTCCTTGATTAAATCTGGAAGCATGAAGCATGTTGAGAATGTGCAAAATGAGCTGGAAAACTCAGAGATGTGCATCCAAGATCTTGATGAAGGTCTTGAAAGCCTCTTCAGGAGATTGATCAAAGCTAGAGTCAGCTAGAGTCACTGTTCTCAATCATCCTCAACTGTTGAAATCTAATTGTACATAAAGTATACCTTACATGTATAGAATTGTTTTGAAAAATAATAATTATACAGTCTTCTTTCCACAGATTCTGCCTTTTCTTAGCTTTCAAGAATGACCATCGATTCATCTTAATCCAAAAAGTATTTACTTTTAACATTCACATTATTGCTAACACTAGAGGTTTACAGTTAGTTTTACCAAATTTAACAGCTGAATCATTTGTCAAACAAGAACTCAAGATTTATGAGATTTGTTCTACGAATACCTGAGCTGTCCGGATTCGCATTGAAGATATTGGAACACTTTGTTAAGTTTTAACTATTTGATTATCACACGGTATATACAAATCTCACGTGCATTAAGCAAATAAAATACGCGGATTAAATAATGAATATGATCTTTAATTACATAAAAACAATTAAAAGAAATTGAATATATAACATTTAACACGCTTATTTGTCGCTTAATGACAGTCTAATGGCTGTCTGAGTTATGCTTAATTACAGCTTAATAATCCAGCATTGATCATTAAACTACGTCCATTTTCCTATAAGTTGGCAAAATATGTACAAGTTGAGCTCCCAGATCTTGCCTGCCTCCTGCATGACAAGAGATTATTAAAAACCTTGAAAAACTCAACCATGTTAATTGCATACACATGCTACTGAAAATGATTAAATAACTACATAAACCAGTGTCAGATGGAGACCCCTTGTCTCCAAATAATGAAGGCTACACATTATAAAAATATCCACACTAGGGAATTAAGCAATTTTAAAACCATGATGCATTACCAGTACACTAATGAAAAGAATCATGTTATGAGTTGTAGGGCTGGTTAGGAGGGAGACATTGCTTGAACCATGCATGCTGAGATAGTTGTTGAGAGAGGTGTCAAGTCCATGTTACAACATGACTGCAACTTAAGAGGGTGAAGTTCTTCATGTTTGTCTCCTCCTTCATAGAATGTATATATAGGGTAGATGAAGGGGAGAAGGCAAATTGCCAGATAAAATTCGGATACAAACTTCTAAGTTTTCTTTCCAGAAGAGATAATGGCCGATTAGCATTTGAGTAGATTGGCATAATCTGAGTTGACTTCTACATCATCGTCATTAATCCGCAATCTCAAAGGACATCAAGATTAATTTTAGTAATGTTTTAGACAACATTAACTTTTCATCAATCAATGTGACATCTTCTTCCCATCATTAAAGACAAATGCAGACAAGTACACGCTTCCCCGCTAAGTTTATATTATACAAGTCAAGAAAGCAGATCTTGCCTCCCTTTTAAAGAGAAAATTCAACAATAACGTCATAATCTTGCATTCTGTCTTAGCAACATCGTGTGTATTACTAGATTATTTAAGATAAGGGTGATGAGTTGACAGTTGTTCTGATTGTGGAGAGCAGACAAAACATGAACGTTTTTGTGATAATCGTGAAGATCTATTTCAACTCCACGTTACTTATAATTGATTTTTAAACATGATGAGATTCCTCTTTTCTCCCCTCAGCCTGTGATATATATATATATTCAGCAGATGGTAATGGGAGAAGACAGCAAATAGCTTGAGTTAGTTGAGCACAATAGAAAGGCCTTTTCCTTCTCTACAACAAAGACAATGGCTACCTCTCCTTTGAATGTCCAGCCTTCTTTCCATGCTCGCTCAAACAGTTTGCCTTCAAGGCAACACCCCATCACTTCTCAAATTGATGAAAATCTGAACCGACTAAGGGCGTCTCAGTCTGCGTCTACATCGTCATCGATAGGAAATCAACTCAACTGCCTTCAAGATTTGTATGACCCTGTTGATATGTTGCTTCAATTGCCCCTCGCTCAACAAGCTCTAGCTCAAGATCAGCAAAGGAAATTGGTTGAGCAACTTTTGGATGGATCTCTCATGCTCATCGATGTATGCAGGACTGCTAGAGATGCCTTGTCCCAAACAAAGGAATGCACACAAGAACTTCAATCAGTTTTGAGTCGAAGAAGAGTCGAGGGGCTAGCTAATGAGGTTAGGAAATACTTAACCTCTAGGAAGGCGGTGAGAAAGGCAATTTGCAAGGCGTTGAAGAACATGAAGCATATGGAGAATAAACTTAGCAAAGATGGTGAGACCGGAGCCGTGATTAGCACCTTAAAACAAGTAGAAGCAGTGACCATCAACGTTCTAGAATCCTTGTTTTTCTTTATTTCAGGGCCAGAGGCTGAATCAAAATCGAGCTCGTGGTCATTAGTTTCAAAGTTAATGCACCAGAAAAAAGTAACTTGCGAGGAAGAAGAACAAAAAACAAATGAAATTGCAGATGTTGAAGCTACATTGTGTTCCTTGATTAAATCTGGAAGCACGAAGAATGTTGAGAATGTGCAAAATGAGTTGGAAAACTCAGAGATGTGCATCCAAGATCTTGATGAAGGTCTTGAAAGCTTCTTCAGGAGGTTGATCAAAGCTAGAGTCTCTGTTCTCAACATCCTCAAATGTTGAAATCTAATTGTACATAAAGTATACCTTACATGTATAGAATTGTTTAATAATTATACACTCTTCTTTCCACAGATTGTCTTTTCATAGCTTTCAAGAATGCCTGTGGATGCATCTGAAGTAAAAAAAAAAAATTACTTTTAACATTCACGTTATTACTAGCACTAGAGGTTTACAGTTAGTTTTACCAAATGCTACCCATCTTAAGTTGCGAGATGAATTATAGAGCCACTATTATTATATTTGTTCAACAGGAATTCAAGTTTTATGAGATTTTTTTCTATGAACACCTGAGCTGTCAAGATTCCTGTTGTCCCTTTGAAGATATTGGATCACTTTGAGCATCATATGGTAGATACAAATCTCACGCTCTTTAAGCAAATCTTGCCTGCCTCCTGCATGACAAGAGATTCAGGACATTATTATATTAAAAAACTTGATAAACTCAACCATAATAATTGCATATACTTTTCATGTACAAGCTAATGAAATTGATCAAACAATAATGACTGCATAAATAATTGAGGCTATAGCCATTTTCTGTGTTAGCAACTTTAAAACCACCCATGCATGTAGTATAGTATTATCTCAGGAATTGAAACGCAGTATGAATTCAGTGATTAAAAGAATATTGTTATGAGTTGTCGAGCTGGTCAGGAGGAAGACATTGCTTGAACCGTGCTGAGATAGTTGTTGAGATAGGTGTCAAGTCCATGTTACCACATGAATGCAACTCGAAGAGCTGAGATTCTTCATGTCTGTCTCCACAGGGATTGAGTGGATGTAAATTAAGTTATTACAATTGGGTTCTAGAGTAGTTATGTATAGAATAATTGTAATTAAATTATATTGAGATTAATAAAATATGAAATTCTGGTAATTGTAGTACAAGAAGCAGTGATTGCAAATATAACAGGATAAGCAAAGATATAAACGGTTTCGGTGAAGTTAAAATGTTGATCTAAGCAGCTGAGATTAATTATGGAATCTGCTTTAATCAATGAAGAATGCCGTTGCAAAACTATGGCATGCCTACAACGCGATTGAGTACTAACTGTCGATAATAAAATCTAAACTCACTCCCCTCAAAGGTACTATATTTCTATAGGCTTCAAGATCGGTAAACACTAATAAGCTATAACTCACTAACTCGTATGAGGAAAGACTCTATGTCTAGAATTTGTAAAGACATTTTGTCGAACACTCACTCATATTACCTAACTTCCATCCAACTAACTTAACCATGTCATTATTAAGCTAGTTTAAAGCCTACTAAACATTCGTCAATGCCCTACCATGTATATTAGCACAATGACAGCAACAATGTCTTGTAGTCGCCAAACTCTAAATTGTCAACAATGTCAACAGTTAACTTTTGCATGGCCAAAATCAATTGTCATTCAACATGGTTGATTCAGATCATTAAAGACAAATGCAGACGAGTACACGCTTTCCCGCTAAGTTTATATTATACAAGTCAAGAAAGCAGATCTTGCGTCCCTTTTACAGAGCAAATTCAACAATAACGTCATAATCCTGCATTCTGTCTCAGCACCATCGTGTGTATTACTATATTATTTAAGATAAGGGTGATGAGTTGACAGTTGTTCTGATTGTGGAGAGCAGACAAAACATGAACGTTTTCGTGATAATCGTGAAGATCTATTTCAACTCCACGTTACTTATAATTGATTTTTAAACATGATGAGATTCCTCTTTTCTCCCCTCAGCCTGTGATATATATATATATATATTCAGCAGATGGTAATGGGAGAAGACAGCAAATAGCTTGAGTTAGTTGAACACAATAGAAAGGCCTTTTCCTTCTCTACAACAAAGACAATGGCTACCTCTCCTTTGAATGTCCAGCCTTCTTTCCATGCTCGCTCAAACAGTTTGCCTTCAAGGCAACACCCCATCACTTCTCAAATTGATGAAAATCTGAACCGACTAAGGGCGTCTCAGTCTGCGTCTACATCGTCATCGATAGAAAATCAACTCAACTGCCTTCAAGATTTGTATGACCCTGTTGATATGTTGCTTAATTGCCCCTCGTTCAACAAGCTCTAGCTCAAGATCAGCAAAGGAAATTGGTTGAGCAACTTTTGGATGGATCTCTCATGCTCATCGATGTATGCAGGACTGCTAGAGATGCCTTGTCCCAAACAAAGGAATGCACACAAGATCTTCAATCAGTTTTGTGCCGAAGAAGAGGTAAAGATGGTGAGACCGGAGCAGTGATTAGCACCTTGAAACAAGTAGAAGCAGTGACCATCAACGTTCTAGAATCCTTGTTGTCCTTTATTTCAGGGCCAGAGGCTGAATCAAAATCGAGCTCATGGTCATTATTTTCAAAGTTAATGCAACAGAAAAAAATAACTTGCGAGGAAGAAGAACAGAAAACAAATGAAATTGCAGATGTTGAAGCTACATTGCGTTCCTTGATTAAATCTGGAAGCATGAAGAATGTTGAGAATGTGAAAAATGAGCTGGAAAAATCAGAGATGTGCATCCAAGATCTTGATGAAGGTCTTGAAAGCTTCTTCAGGAGGTTGATCAAAGCTAGAGTCACTGTTCTCAACATCCTCAACTGTTGAATCTAATTGTACATAAAGTATAACTTACATGTATAAAATTGTTTTGAAAAATAATAATTATACAGTCTTCTTTCCATAGATTCTGCCTTTTCTTAGTTTTCAAGAATTGCAATAGATGCATCTTGAGCCAAAAATTATTTACTTTTAACATTCACATTATTACAAGACTAGAGGTTTACTGCTAGTTTTACCAAATGCTACCCATCTTAGCTTACGAGATGAATTATAGAGCCACTATTATTATATTTTTTCAACAAGAATTCAATATTTATGAGATTTTTTCTATGGACACCTGAGCTGTCGAGATTCCTCTTGTCCCGTTGAAGATATTGGATCACTTTGAGCATCACATGGTTGATACAAATCTCACGCTCTTTAAGCAAATCTTGCCTGCCTCTTGCATGACAAAAGATTCAGGACATTATTTTATTAAACTCGACCATAATAATTGCATATGCATTTTCATGTATATGCTAATGAAATTGATCAAACAATAATGACTGCTTAAATAATTGAGGCTAACGATAATAAAACTAGCCACCGTCTGTGTAAGCAACTGTAAAACCACTTGTGCATATAGTTCGTTATATATTATTACTATTATCTCAGGAATCAAGATACATTATGAGTTCAGTGATTAAAAGAATATTGTTATGAGTTGTCGGTCTGGTTAGGAGGGAGACATTGCTTGAACCATGCAGAGATAGTTGTTGAGATAGATGTCAAGTCCACATGACTGCAACTTGAAAGGGTGAGATTTTTCATGCCAGTCTCCACTGTCATATATATATATATATTAGGTACATGAAGGGAAGAAGGAGAATGACCAGATTGAATTGAGATAACTTTCAAGTTTTCTTTTTGGAAGAGAGAATGGCTACCAGTTACCACACACGTTCTAATAACTTTACCTCTAGATTGCACCCTCTAACTTTAGAGGTTGATGAGCATTTGAGTAGATTGGCATCATCTGAGTCGGCATCTACATCATCTTCGTTAAACCAAAAACTCAGTAGACTTCACGATTTACATGATTGTATTGAGAAACTGCTTCAACTGCCCTTCACTCAACAAAATTTATCCCAAGAGAAGAAGAGGGAATGTGTTGACGAGCTGTTGAATGGATCTCTCATGCTTTTAGATGTATGAGCCGTGAAGGATGCCTTATTGCAAGTAAAAGAATGCACACTACAACTTCAATCTGTCTTGCGCCGAAAGAGAGGTGCTACAAAAGGCTTTGTTAATGAGGTTGGAAAATAATCGGACCTCTAAGAAGGCAGCTAAAATGGCAATCTTGAAGGCCCTAAAGAATTTTAAGCATAAGGAAAATAAACAAAGCACTGGTTCCATAGCTAGAGTATTAAGGGAAGTGCAAGCAGTCAGTCTTAGTGTGCCAAAATCCTTTTTATCCTTTACTTTTGGTCTTGAGAGAGAATCACAGATGAGCCACCGGTTGCTGCTCTCAAAGCTATTACACCCAAAAATAGTCATCAGTTGAGGACAAGAGCAGATCAATGAAATGGAAATTACTGATGCTTCATTGCAATCCCTTGCCACAAGCAAACCTGACATTATGCTAATAGAGAAAGTTCAGAATGAACTAAAATTATCAGTCTTGCATTCAAGACTTTGAAGATGGGGTTGATTATTCAAAAAGTACTTATTTAAAAGAAGATTGAAAGTTTAAATTAGTAAAAAAAAGCTTAAATTAGTAAAAAAAAAAACTAAGGATGCAATTGAAAGAAACAAAAGACAATCGATGAGATTTTTTTATTGTCATATCGTATTTCAACTTAAAACATAATTACAATTTAGAATTTTATTTCAATTTTATGTCTCTTTTGCAGTATTTGATCCTGATTAATAGATCAAATATCGATGATTATACCTAAAAATATATTTCCTTACAAAATGATTGTGAGCAAAAGATGTTTCATTTTCAGTTATTGCCTGTCCCTGTTCAGCTCTATCAATATCAGGAAGTTAACTTCCTTCTACTTCATGATGCACTGTGAAAATATCAAGTTTTGTTCTAAAATGAAACCCAGAAGCCTTACATGATATTTATTTGTGATCAAGAAACTACAACACTGGACACAATCAAAGCCGGAGTAAATGAAGGCAAGATTGAATGTCAGCTTCAATTCAACCCTCGTACAAATCAGATCTCTAGGTACACAAATACAATATTTTCCAGTAAAATAATGAACAAATTGAAGACACAAAAGAGAAACAGATAAGGAGGTAGGCTCGGATGGCCGACGCCACCTACAAAACAACTAGATTAATTTGTCAAAGGCTTAGCCTTGCGTATATGGCCCATGCTATTTACAAGATCTCTGCGTGTGCAGACTGGGAACATATTGATGTTCTTTAGTACTTCCAACCGCCAAAGAACATATGGAAAGCTTAATTGGTCCCTTGAAGTGAAGCGAACCACCTCATTAAACCAGAGGCACATGAACATATTAGTCAAAGGTGTATGTTTCCTCACAATGACAGAGGCTTCATTCAGAGCTGCACAAAAAGACGGAGGAAATCAAAATTTTAGCACCAAAACCAAGTTAGCAGGTAAATTCAAGTTATCTCTACCAGTCCAAGCAGTTTGTCCCCTTTCTTTCAGCAAAATTTCCCCCCACTGCGTAAGAATCAAATCAAATGTTCTAGTGCACCCTTTTCAGTTACTGGCTTCTGACGTTTTAGAGGTCTAATTATTTCGAAATGGTTGACCTTAATGCCACCAAGCTCAGTTGGGCTGCAGATGGGCAAGAATGCAAACCTAAATTTATCGAACGCTAGTTAAGAGCAGGGATAAATAGGTCAAGACAGTAAAAGCCTTCAAATGATAATAACAAATGGCTTTGATGCTGCCTTCTAGGTCATGCATAACAAATTTGTGTCCTCAAACACCAGGAACAGCTTAATTCAGACAAAGTAACATGGAATGATGAAAAACATACTGCTTATGGAGGACACAAGAAATTAAGAAATCATGCGAATTGTGGATCATCATTCCCATTAACCTTTAATATAGTACAGCTTACTTTAATAACCACAAAAGAGAAGACAGGAGAATACCTTTCTTTCCATTAAATCTCTTGTCCTCGGGAAGACCATCCTTACGATACTGAGTCATTTGAACCTCAACTTCCACTGGTGTAGCTTTGTGTTTAAGGACAACAGCCTTTGCCTCGTCATAGACACTACTACGAGCTCCATGCTCCGAAATTGCAAGAACTGAATTCCTACGCCAAAGAAGAGCCTCCACTACACCTAAAGGATCCCTCCTGAATTGGGATTTCGAGTCTACCCAAATAGAGTACTTTGCATGAGGAAAAAGACGATGCGGCAACATCTGATCACCACAAATGTATTGAATCATTCTTCATGGAAACTATAAGCATATAGAGAGAGAGACAGATGCCTGTGGATGCATCAAACCAAACAAGGCCAAGAAGGAAGAAAATATCATTAATCAAAATATTACATGATCATACTTCCTATAACACCATCTATAAAATTTGATATCAAAATCAATTTTGAAGTACTGACTTCATGGATAGATCTAAATTTGCCTACAAATGATAAAAGATTAGCAATGCAAATACAAGACTAGACACTGTTGGAGACAGATGAATAAGAGTTTAAACAAGTTACAAAATGCAGAATGTGTCGATATCAATCATTAGCAACAAAGAAAGACAAAATGTTTAGAAATCAAAAAGTGGATATCATCTACTATTTAGCAGATTATCTATACAATCTAACCACTATACCTTTGGAATTTTCCCATTCAACCTCTGGTCTACAAAAGGCAGATTCCGTACAATCACAATACGCCATTTTCCAATCAGCCCATCCTCGCCAATTTTATTACCCTGCGATTCCTGTGCTGCAAGAGTAATTTCATCCCAAAATGCAACATAACAAACCTGAATCAACAATATGCAGAATCCCAATTAAGAAAAAATACAAATGTTAAGAACATTTAAGCTATAAGTAAGCTTCCGCATCATATATGCTCACCTTTTTGAGAGATGCCTCTGACATTCCTATAGGCTGATAAAGATCATCTCCACCTCCAAAAGCACAAGTAGAAGCCACAAGTTTGCAAGTTTGCATATAACTCTTGTCTCTATCAGATATTGCAAAACCACCATTTTCACTAAAAAAACCACAGTGTAGAACAACAGTTCCACTCACCTGGACAAACAAATTGCAGGCGGAACCATAATCCATGATATGAAAAAAAATGTAACAATAAAAAATCATCATTGCCTTTATTAAGGTTCAAAACCTTAAAGCTTTTCTCTCTCTCATCAAAGGTTTGGTTCCCAGTGAATAAATTAAACCGAGTGACATTTGTACGCTGCAAAGATAAGGTAGAGTCCCCCCCACCATGGCCATGAGGCGTTTGATGGTCTGAGATATACACCAATCTTTTAACAGGACTACTAATAGTAGATTCTTCATCTTCTGAAATATCCAGATGCTGAAGTTCCTCAGCTGGTAAGAGCTTCAAGCAAGCTGATAGATTACACAAAACATTTTCTCATTTCTTCACGTATTTCTAAATATTCCCTACTTGACAATAGTTTTGGCACCATAATTATAACAATATCCTAGATTCTACTTCACCAAAGATTATAAAAAGAGAGATTTATTTGGTCCTCTACTTACGTTCTCTAACACCACCGACAACATGAGTGATTGGATCGAGCCGGTTCAATTTGCTGTCGAGTTTCTTTCCTTGAGTCGCTTCCTTCGGTTTAGTAAGTTCTGGGTTACCCATCAAATTGGGTCTTTTCACTTCATTAATTTCCGAGTTGACGACCAACACAGGTTTTCTACCGACGCTAGTGACCTCGAAAATGATCAGCACCGCGGCCGGAAGGAATACGAGGAGCATCCAGTATTTGACGAACAAACGGATGAGGAGCTGATTCAACTCGTTCCTGATTCGGCGATGACCGTGTTTCTTGCGTTTCCTCCGGGTTCGGACTCGTTTTCGGCCAAATTCATCGGGATCATCATCCGAGACCGAGATTGAGATACTGTTATTGCTGAAACTTGAAGAGGCCATTTGTAGGAATGGGGGATTAGAAAAGAATAGAATGAATGGAAACTCAAATTGGAATTTTGGGGCTTCGAGTTTCCACTAAGAAAGGGGTGGCGCTGAAGTCTGGAACACTGGGATGCTGGAGTTGGAACTCTATTTTCGACTTGTTTCCACGCTGATGGCTCAATTCATAACGATTCAACTCGGATCCATTTTGGGGGGAAATTCGCTTGCTATGTCCTACTTAGAATTTCTTTAAAAAAAATCGATTCGATATTGAATATGATCACAGATCGGATTTCAATGCTTTGAATCAGTTCAAAATATCAATTTCCAGATTTTCTACGAAATAATCTCCTGTAAACTATTTTCAAGGGTAAATTACACAAATAGTCACTAATATTTGAGTAAATTTTTGTTTTACCTACTAAAATTTAAAAAGTTACAAAATAATCACTAATATTATCGATTTATGACAAATTGGTTACTCACCGTTAACAGCCGTTATACAAATAACATAATGCTAACGTGACACGTTATGTTAGTAGCCTGAACCTCTGCAAATGCTCTTTGACACATATACCCCTAGACAACAGAGATGAACAACACTTCTAAACTTATAACAAAAGAACTATTACAAATATTGTAAGCGGGAAATTGAGAAAGAAAAAACAAAGAAAGAGTTCAAAATATCAAAAGCTCAGAACTTGAGTGTAACCCCCTAAGACCGATGCGGGTGACCCGATCCAATCCGGGGTGTCACATTAGGGCCACCGAAGCGACCCACCATAAAAATAGAGGAAAATTTAAAACTTTTATTAAAACATGTAAACTCATAAAATCATTTATCAGTATTCAGAAATAAAATAGGTTTTCAGACTCAGATATATAACAAAATACAATCTACATGCCCCTTAATCACAAGTATCATACTCTGCAAGCAACACTGAAAAAACTCCAATACTGATGTCGATATATGCACTGGTACGATTCTTTTAACTTGAAAAGATGAGTAATAGAGTGAGCTTTGGGAAGCTCAGTAATACAATACTACCAGTTGATGCTACATGACATGCAGATAGATGTAAAGCCATATAATTTCCTTATTGAATCAAACTTATACCAATTCTCGGGATAATATGGGGTTTCACTGGTAATTTATTAAGAAAACCAGTTCATAGGAAACATTCATAGTATCACGTTTTTAGGAAGTCAAATAGGATATCTAGTGTGTTCCAATCAAAACCAGTGAAAATATATAAATCTTTTAAAACCATAGCGGGACCCCCAACCAAACTCCATTATGCAGTTCCCCAGAACTGCGTCCGTGGGCTTACCCTAAGCACACAGCAAAAGGGAGTCAACCTAAGTATATTCCTTGGGGCCTATGGGCCTACCCAAGGGTATTCTTTAGGTCCGTAGGGTTACCCTAAGCATACAACAAAGGGAACCAACCTAAGGATATGCCTTGGGGCTTATGGGCCTACCCAAGGGTATCCTTAGGTCCGTAAGGTCTTACAAGCTGGATCAGAGTTGTGCCTCCTTTTAGAATCCTATCCATATAAAAATCCAATAGAAATCAGTTTTAGCTGTAAATCGTAATACCTGGATCGTGATCCAGTATGTCATAACCGTGATAATGAAATAAATCGTATAACCGATTTCCACCTGTACACCATAAGTAGTCCAATGATTAACCTAAGGGAATGCCTTGGGGCCTGAGAGCCTACCCAAGGATCACTTTAGGTCCGTAGGAAATTACCAGCTTGATCAGAGTTGTACCTCCAGTCTACTCATATAATATCCCAATAAAACAGTTCGAGTATAACCAGTGAAACATAAAACCATGGTTCATAAACCAGTAGTTTTCATGATTCCATAAATCAAGAAAAATTCATATTTTCGGTGAAAACCATAATCGGATATCACATACCATGTTGTTATGGTTCATAAACCAGTAAATCAATACTTTCGTTAAAACTTATTTCAAAACATATAAAACCGTCATGTAGTACATGTGGAACACACTAGAGAATCCGAGTATTTTTCAGAGGCACTTGGTAGTTATCAGTATGAATAACATGAAACTTATACAATTTGATTGGATTCCAGGAATGAGGTCCTATTGAAGAGAATCGATTACTAACCGATCTAATCAGACATTTAAGGTTGATACTTTAAAATCCCACTATGATTCATCATTTGCATCAGGAAAGTGTCCAGGAACCTTTATACATAATAATTCTAGATTCAGATTTACTGAGAGTGATTCTATTACCCAAATAATCATGGGTATTCAGGAGTATACATTGAATTCATAGGATTTTAACCCAATTGAACCAAATGGGGTATTCAAGATCCTTTGTATCTGAGATACTTGCGTGTTCAGATATGACCAAAGTGATTTGAGCTGATAAAGGAGAAATGAAGATTTAGAACATTTACAATTTATATTGATCGATCGAATTATCGAACAACTCCCAGAACTGATGCCTGTTGACTGGTCAATTCCTTGCCCTTCCAGGGTATTCATTCTTTAATACCAAAAATTTATTGTCCATAGATCCTCTTCAGAATCATCACTGAATAGATCTTAAGGGAACGAACGGATATTCCAGTGGTCTTTATTTTATTTTCATGTTTCATCGATATTATGAAATGTTGACATACTTGATTTATGTTTCATAACCCATAGGGACAGTACATCATGCAAGTTCATTGGTGTTCCCAAACTCATCCAAATCACTTACTAAATCCCCAGTCCTTAAGATTACTTCAGAGTCTTCCCGAGTAATTCAGACACTTTTGAATTTCGAATATATATTATACTTTTGTTCAGTTCAATTTAGTCATAAAATAAAGTCATTTTGGTATTCGTGGTTGATTTGTCTTACGAATATCCACTTCTTAGTACCAAACACTATCTAGAGTTGATCTGAGCTGAGTACTTCTATAATTATCATCGATCAAAACTTGATGAGACGGACAAACATTCAAATGGTATCTATGTCATTCATGTACTGACATAGCATTAGGGTTGATCGACTTACTTAATCTGTGTTCTATAACTTTTAAGGGTAGTACAACCCCTATGTTTATTTGGATTCCTTAATTAATCCAAGACATTATTTAGTCTAGGCCATACGGGTACTTTGGTCATTTTGATACTCAATGTTATATGGGCTTGGTAATATTCTTGGGTCAATTCCATTAAAGGGGTATTTTGGTCATTTTACACTTTAGGAGTATTTCTATAATTCCAATATAGATCCGGAATTTAATTCGATGATTCCAAGGTTCTCGTGAATCAAGGTATGAGTTCCCAGGTCATCTCTATTATCATAGTCATTCATATTTCGTTTTACTCTTTAAAGGTATTATCGTAATTTTATTCAATTTCGACAGTGGCATTACTTCAGTAAATTATGCTTGAAAATATTCCAATTCCATTAAAGATCAGAGTACTTTGCTCATTTGCTCGCTGGAGACTAATTTCTACACTAAGGAAAGTCTTGGCCCTTTTTCAGTACAAGGACATTTTCGTAATTTACCTATAACGCTCTTTTCGGTAATTTCATATCCAAATATCTCCTACATTTAATCCTTAATGAGATTAGTCAGAAATTACACTTTATGAGATGTATTAATTCACTGATTTATTCATTGAAATGAGATTTGTTTCCGATCAGTATGCTAATTTCTTTTTCAAGCCGTTAAAGTCTTATACAGTGTTCCGTCCTTAATCTAATTTTCATATGAGTCCAAAGATAGTTAACTACCCTAACGGACCAATTATTCCAATCAAGCAATTACCATCTATCCATGGATTCCGAAAAGCATACAAAAGATAGTAAAGTATTACCTCGTTTTTTATGCTATCTCGATCGACCATTCAAACTCCATTCGAACGCCCTCGATCTTGAAATCAATGTCCAATAATTTCTTAGATAAATATCAACAGAAATTTCATCAAAAACATATCGAATCGGGTGATAAATCAGTGAAAAATAGCTTATCGGGTTCGAATTTGGCAAAACGGACTTCGGAATCGGAGTCAGGACATCGAAAAACATAAAATATTACATTTCAAAAAAATTTGGTCAAAGTCAACGGCCAACGGTTTGACTCGGTCAAAGTCAACGGTCAACAGGTTGACTCGGTCAAAGTCAACGAGTTGACCTAGTGAGTTGACTCAATCGAGTTAACTCAGCACGGGTTGACTCAGTCGGCTCGGCTCAGTGGCTCGACTCGGCTCAATCGGCTCCCCTATGCTGCCAGACGAAGCCCACTCGTAGGCGTGGAGCATGGGGGCGCGTGCGGAGGCCTAGAGGGTCCAAAAAAATTCTGTAAAAAATCTAAAAATATTTTAAGGCATTTTGAGACACTTACCAAGATCGGTTCACAATTTTGAATGGTGGAGAGCTTGATTTCAAAACATCGAAAACTTTAACCTCCTCACCCCTTCACGTATCGGTGACGACAGATACAAGAAGAACATCGACGGACTCGGAACAATGTAAGGAACACGATGGTGCAGGAGGTGTCGAAAACGGGTAGCCGGATCGACCTGAATCGATAAAAAATTAACAACAATCGAGTTAAAACCGACAATACTTCCGATTGAGATTTACGACGAATGACACCGATTCATGACGAGAGGTTTGAGGATTTTTGTTCATTGGTCGACAACGAACACGATGGTGGTTTTGGATCGATAAATGGTGGTCGAACGGTGGAGAAATCGAAGATCAAATGAGGGTTGTCGGGGAGAGAAAATGGGAAAAATAATCTGGTAAAACCAGATTACATAGGGGGAGAGAGTTTATAATTCAACATATAAGAAAAATAGATAAATTCATGACTGGGTCTCTGAATTTCCTACACTTTCTAAAATGGTCTGCTAGCTTTGTGATTTTTCAATTTAATCCTCAATTTCTTTCAAAATTTCACTTAAATTCAATACTTTATAATTTCTAAAATTTAGCCCTTAAATTGAAGTGTGACATTGAGAAATGAAAAGACAATATACGCAAGCTACTCCATAGCTTATCAAACGACCGGGAACAAAAAAGCAGATTGAAATTGGAAACCAGGTCCGCAGTCCAAACACTCTACCTGTTGGGAAATAAACCAAGTACAAGTAATTTCCCTATAACCAGATTAGTGAGAATGCAAAATAAAAGCGGAAAAATAATACCCGAAATTGATAACGGAGTTCAACCAATTGTGCTTACGTCTTCAGACTGCTGCAGATCTTTTACTAAGAGAGAAAATTTACAGGTGTTTACA